CATGTTATCCTCTATGGCTGTTTCTGCACAGTTACTTCAACACTGTGTTGTTAACCTTTAAGGCTTTATAATATCAAGCTCCTAATTACATCCCTGACCTGTTCCAGCTTTACATATCAACTCTGAACCTCATATAAACTAACCAGAGACTCCTGGTAGTTCCTCTGACCCATTTTCACCTCAACTCTCTGGCGAGCTTTTAGTTTTTGTTTTTTAAGACAGGCTTTCATTCTGCATCTCATTTTATGTGAACAGAAATACTTTTTCACAAAATGAATGTTCTGACCATTTCAATAACCTTTGCGTAGCAAAAAGCGAGGTGGACTCATGTGCAGGTTGATGTTTGCGGTTCATCCCAGTGCAGCAGAAATCAAAGCCTGCGTGGGGCTTGTTTTAGGCGGTGGGGGGGAGGGAATCCTGCTTCCTTATAAAGCAGCGCCGGCTGCTGATGCCATGCCAGCTGCAAACGCAGTAATCCCTAGATTATAAATTTTGGATTACAGACCATTTCTATTTGTCCTGTGCATTGTGAACTTCTCACATTAGATACTGAACACAGGGAGAGCATGCAAGGTTCACCGCCCTTTTTAGCTTAGAAGTTTATTTTCTGACGATGGTCCGCACATTTTTCTGGCTTTTGCTCACAGGGAGCCTCCGCTCAAGTGTTCTCCACTTGAGTTAAAGACAAATAAACACTTCACATTTACAATAACCTACAGCTGCAACAAAGCTTTCTCCAACCTACTTTAAACCACACGCTATCTGAATGTTGTGTTCGAGGACAGCGTTGTTCCTTGAACACAAATAGAGTTGGTTTCTGCTTTTATTATTTTTAATCTAAAAAAATGGAGGAAAAAAAAGTCAGATTACAGGGTGGTTGGCTCCATCAACTGGTCTAAGACCATCTGGACTAGAGGCAGTTCATTACGCCGCTGGACAAGCCCTACCTAATGAAACGGCACGGGCAGAGCTCTAATAAATCACGACAAACAGTAAGCTGCTCTGCAATCTGCATGCTGGCCTCATCCCCTCATCAGTGGGTCAGTGGCACAGCAGACGCCACAATGTGAGGGCGTAGAAGCTGACAGAGTCCTAGAGTCCATTTGTGAGAAACAGCAATAGTTGCTCTTTTGGAAGGCAGCAGATTCTTTTACATGACAACAGTGCAATGTCGTTTTGCACACTCTGTTAACCTCCACAGCACTTTTTCTAATCTTGCATTTGGTTAAAATTTTACAAACTATGGAGAAAGAATGTATGAAAGAAAGAGTAGAAATGTGCTGAAGTCTTGACGTGTATCATTTGAGCTTGAGTTCAACACAGAAACTGAGCAGAAAGACGTTTTAACTAGAAAGTGGGACTTTCTCTAGTCCTCTAAAAAATTTCACTTTCTCTGATGATCATCTCATTGGTTTAAGGAAGTAGTCGACTCTATACAGAGCAAAAAAAATGTTCCATAAGAATAAAACAAATCGCTGCTGATTTTAATCCACTCTGAGGTTTTACAGACTCATATGATCTGTTGTGACAATTAGCTAATGGAGGTGATATTAGCTATTGCTGGCCAGCTTTTTAAATTGAATGCAGACATCACAGAGCGCCCAACATCGGAACACTAATCCATTATGTACAGAATATGTTTGCGTTTCCCATAACTGTTTCCCTTCTGCATTAACTCTTGTGATTTTCGCTTATATTTTCCTACTTTACAAAGAAATTTTCTATACCTCTTCAGACATGTTACAAGATCTCCAAATTTGTTCTGTATGTGTGCCCGGTCCGAGCTTAAAAGTGAACCGCACCTAAATGGAAATGGTTTTTTCCAAACAAAAGGCAACGTCACGGAGGAACAAAAGCAGGAAATCACACGCTGCTGGATGTTATCAGGCAGAGGAGAACAAAAAAGCCCCGTGGAAGTGAAGCTGAAGGTTGTTCTTTGACTTTCCCAAACCTGCGGCATTAAGAAAAAGTTTGCTGAAGCCTTCCATGCTCATACTACTAAATGCTGAAACAGAACTGCTGACAATAATAGCTGCATAAATATTACAGGGGCAGAATGACTTTTATGTATAATATTCCTACAGGTCTTATTTCTGAAGAAATTCAAGTGTGGCTGGAAGGCTGGAATTATGTTAATGTAGTCATTTGGGTTGCAAATACTCATGTAAATGTACATTTTCGCATGAATATTCACACTCTGAAGGAAGAACTTCAAGTGCAGTGGATGCACAGGCTTGTGCTGAGTATGTGCCTCTGGTTCAAAGCAACAGAAATAAAAGACCATCCTACTCTAATGCGCTCCCATGCTGTGAATGTCCCACCCTGTGTGGTTGGATGGATGCAGATCTTTGTGAGCTCATAGATGCTCAATTATTAAGCAATTTGTGGTTGATCCCAGAATAGCATGGCATCAACTAAAATTTCCAACAATCTGCACATAATATTAATAATACGGCAGGAAACAGGGTCCTGCAGAGTCTCTACTGTCTGAGTTGTATCTATTTCAGGACACTGGATTTTGTTGAACAAGACTGCACAGAGTTCTACCTGAAGAGGTTAACATGCTTTGCTGCTGCTACAATCTGTATTTTAAATGATTTAGGCAAAAAAATAAATAAAAATCACTAAAGGCAAAAAATGTTAGGAATATAGATTATATCTTCATTGGCCTACATATAGAATCTATGTCGAATATAAAAGAAATAAAACTTGTTGCCTCACTGACAAGCTCAAATGCTAACCCCCCCCCATCCCAGGAGAAGCAGAATCATTGCTTCAGTCATTCATCTGAAGTGTCCTGGATTTGCTGGTGTAGCACTGGCGCTCCAGTTAAGTAGTTTTTTCAATCTCTCACAGCAGGTCATTGATTTCTTTTTTTTTTCTTTCTCTCTGTCTCTCTGTAGAAATTGAGTTCATAGAAGGAGGGTAGCAGTGGTGGGGAGAGTGAGAGCTCTCAGCATTTTCTGGCACAAGTCTGTCTTTAAATCTCAAAAGAAGAAAAAAGAAAGGAAGAAAGTCTCAGGTCTCCGGCTTAAGAAATGAAACAAAGCTTTTACTAGCTGACTTTACTGTGTTCACAGATACAAACAATCCAGACTATTTTTTTGTCCAGATTTTTTTTTTTTTTTTGTCACTTATATATATGCGGGCGAATCACATGGCATCTGCCACTGGATTCTAATCCGCTCCCTCCTCCCTCTCAATCTGGTGTCAGACTCCAGTGGAAACGGTGCGCGGCTGGAGAATACAGGAGAAACTAGGACAGATCCAGCTCCAGAGGTCAAGGGTCAGTACAGTGGCACAGAACTGATGATGATGTTCGAAGCCAGTCAAAGTAAGTCAACGTCGGTTCTCAACATAAAAATCTCAAAATGCTGCATAAGACTAACATAACAAAATCAATTACTTGATGCTTTTTGGTTTTGTTGCGTTTTCACCAAACATTAAATCCTTTTCTCACAAGTCATGAAGAATTAAAGGACTTTACTTCTCATTTTAAAGCTTTGCATGTATTTGACCCATATCTGACAGAGCCTTCCCTCGTTGCTGATTTCCAGCTGCTATCTTTATTGCCGCACATATTCATTTTGCTGCAGATGCACGCCAGAGTGCTGCTGATGTTTATCGTAGGTGGCTCATCCCCTCAAATGTGCTCACTGTCAGTCCTCAGGGTGGCCGGGCAGCCACCCAGACTCCAGTTCCCACTGCCAGGAAACCAGGCCAGATGTTGGGGCTCTGCCATCAAAGTGAAATGAGTAATAAATAAATAAATACATAAATAAAGCAGGCAACTTTAATCATATTTTTCAAGGTCTTATTGCTCAATATAAAAGCCTAATTTTGGGGGGGGTAAGAGGAATAATGTTTGCCCTCCATTTAAGCAGGCTAATAGCCTGGAAGTATTTATTTTTTTAAACAAGAAACATGCATTCTGATATTCGGCTGCGTGCTCGGATATGTCTTGCGGGGACAGACAAAGCGCGTCAACGGCGCGTCCGGAGCGCTTTTCCTCGCTGCCGCACTCACGTGAAGACGAAGAACATGGACGTGGAGCCGACCAGGAGGCAGGCGGCCGTGCACACCGGGACGAAGGCGCCGGGCTTCAGCGAGTCGGCGCCGCTGGCGGGCATCCTGTCCTCTCCGCGCTCATCGGGGTCTCGCACCGGCCGAAGGAACCGCAAACGCTGGCCTGTTTAGCCCCTCGTAGACAGCAGGCTGCGCGGAAAGTGGATTCATAGCGCGAGGAGGCGTTTAAGAAAAGTCAGTGAAAAAAAAAAAAGAAAGAATGAAAGAAAAAAAGAAAATCGGTCTCCGAAAGCAGCTCCGCAGATCGGTCCCGCATTCCCCGTCCCGACTGGTCCAACAGGCTGGCGCACAGATGCGGCTGTACCAGAGGTGGTGCTTCAACTCATGAATGACGTGAAGCGACTCTGACTGAGACCCCCTGCTGTGACCCGATGAACTACTTCACTTTCTATTAGATAGATAGATAGATAGATAGATAGATAGATAGATAGATAGATAGATAGATAGATAGATAGATAGATAGATAGATAGATAGATAGATAGATAGATAGATAGACAGACAGACAGACAGACAGACAGACAGACAGACAGACAGACAGACTGACTGACTGACTGACTGACTGACTGACTGACTGATTGATTGATTGATTGATTGATTGATTGATTGATTGATTGATTGATTGATTGTTGATTGATTGATTGATTAACGTGGAACTAGAAATCTACAGAAAGGTCTGTCGTACTTTGACAAGACTGTGGCTCTTTCCAGAGTCTGTCAGTGTAAACACATGAAGCTACCTGTGAGATTCTGCCTTCCTGTCTGCAGGGCAACCTGACAGAAAATACTGTTTGGGCTGTAGTTGTTGGGTGGGGCATCTCTGCTCTCTATAAATGCCTGCAGCTTTCTTCAGACTGTACAACCTGTGTGTGAAACCCTCTACATCACTGCAGTTGGTGCCTGATCCAGTGACAGTATGGATGCAAAACAGTTATTTGAATACATCGTCAGAATACTCATGTTCATTGCAGGCATCGTGGGAAACAACTGGCTGGCGATAGCCTCTCTTCCCAGAAAGAAATCTGAAATCCGTACCAATGAGATCCTGTTAATTAACTTGGCTGTCTCCAACCTCATTACCAACTACCTAGTGGACATCCCTATCACCATGGAAGACTTTGTTGGCCGATGGTTCTTGGGACTGACCTTCTGTGGGATTTCTCGGTTCAGTTCTGACCTCTCAGAAACCAGCAGCCTCTTCACCACCCTTGTCATCTGCATCTTTTGGCACCAGAAGCTGGTTGGTTCTCTCAGGCGTGGAGGTGCACCTGTGCAGCTGGACAACCTGCATCTGCTGGGGTGTCTGCTGACCGGGAGCTGGACACTGTCCGTCATCTTCAGCATGCCTCGCCTTTTCTTCGTTTCATTGGAGGTGACAAATGAGAGCCATGAAGACTGCATAGACGTCTTCCCCGATGTGCTTTCCAAACAAACATATGACGTATTTTTCTTATCTCTGGCTAATGCTTTACCTATTGCAGGGATCTGTGTTGCAAGTATCCAAATTGTTTTAACTTTGCTCCAACATGGCAAGCGCATACAGAGCGTTTCCTCTCATCGGGTCAAGGTTAAGCAAGACAAGTCAGAGAGCTCCTTCAGCAGTGTTTCTGTTCAAGGCTACCATGAAGATCTCAAAGAGTCTTCTTCACCAACTGAGCATGTTTCTTCTTGTAAAAACAGAGAGTGTTTAGGTAAAAGTCCACAGAGTTCTCCCTCAGCCAATAAAACCGATTCCAGAGCAGAAGGTCAACCAAACCACTCAAAGTCCAGCCAGATACCTTCAAAGCAGAGTAACAACAAAAGCTCTCAGGTGAGGGCAGCAAAGAGCGTGGTGGCAGTGGCTACTGTGGTGCTCCTCTGTTGGGTGACTCATCTAATTCTGCGCATCAGCAACAGCATCCAGGATTCATCACTGATGATGAAGCTGGCCAGTTACATCGGAGCCGCCTACACCTGCATCATCCCTTATATTTTTCTGCATGGAGTGAAAAAACTTTCTCGTTTGTGTAAATGATGGGAAATGTCAAACGAGATGTCCAAGGGGCTACAGTTAAGTTCAAGAATATTCATACACTGTGTTGTGTTAGGTTTAAAGTAATGTTTTAATATTTACCAAACTGTTTATTCTGACTAGAAGTAACATTTATATTTTTGATTGATCCAGCTAGTTAAAAGTGACTGAGGATCTGTGGACAGACCCAGGTTTTCCATCCTCAAGGACTCAATGGAGCTCCAACCCACACAAATCATCAAAACAGAAGAACCATGCATAATTTGGGTAGACATTATCAGAAGGGTTTGTTTGATATAATGCCATTAATTTCAGATTAAGTTCAATAACTGTTGATGTAGATCAAACTGAATTTAAAGTTTTTAATGGACTAAGATGGTGGTGTAATGACTGTTTTAACATTTTTGGGCAACTAATAGAATTAAAAACCCTACTATTGATGGATATAACGTGTGATGTGGCTGATAAGTGCATCACTTTAACAATCACGTTAAATATGGAAACTATGAGATTTATTAAGACTTTCATCCTTTAAAATATTTTAAAAAAAACATCTCTACTTAACTAGATATGGTAAATAATGAAGCAAATGACTTTAGACTTTGTATGAACCATGCTAAGAATTTATTGTACCTTTCTGTTAATACTTTCATACAGGATATATTTAATCCTTTGTCATTTTAAGAAAATGCTAGTGGAAAAGCTAAATTTCATATACTGTAAATTGTATTCTGTCCATATTACTTGTAAACAAATCAAATGGTCATTAGTTCGTATCTTCATTGCACTCCACATTAAATATGTTAAAGGTGGAAAATAATCTCAAGTCTCAATTCTGCATATATTTAATCTCTACGAAAGTTTAAAGATTATATCAAAGCCTGGATTTCTGAAAAGTTAGAAATTAAACATTGTTTTGACCCCAATGAAACTGCAATTTATGTCCACACAGCAACAAAATTAGTTTATTTTCCATGAGAATACAAATTAACCATAATTATGCACCAGAGTGCAGCTAATTGGAGATTGACACCAATTAGCACCTTGTTAGTTATTACAGTAGGAAGTCCTGAGTGAGGTTTCAAATCAAAGATAATTACATTGCATGACCAGTGTCACATTAAGGAGCAACCTGATGCCCTTCACATCTAATTACTCCAGTGACTCAACATAAGGTCATGCTATAATGAGAATAGATCCACAAAAGTCACAAGTTAGATTTTTTTTCTAAAAATGTTTTATTAGCCTGCCCAAATCTAGATCTGATTTTTTTTAGTGTAGGTGAAATTATGAACAGCACCAAGTCAGAGTCAGAAAAACTCTTATACATAATGGCACAGTTTTAATATCCAAACAATCATTTTCTGTTAACCCACAGATTTGCAAGAGGTTTTGCAAAGATAATGTTAAAGCCAAGGTAGGTACATAAATACAAAATAAACTGGTAAAACAGACAAAACATTGTGCTGTGATGCTTGAATTGACTTTGTCCCAAAATGAGGCTCAAATTGAGCTAGTTTTTAATATATCCAACAGATTTCATGAGTTTTTAATAAACACATTATTGAAAGTCCCTCTATTTATAGATATTAAACAGCTATTTGCATTAAACAATGCAAATTACAAGCAATCTTATCAAAACTGCACAATATTCAAACTAACAAAAAAGGTAGAAAATAAGTTATAAAACTTGTCACTTTGCCAGTCTCTCATCAGAACAAATTCCAACAAATACGATGCCAGGTCTCTTTGTTTAAGGCCAGCAGGGTACCAGTCAGTGGTCAGCCAATTGTTTATTGATAAAGAATGTGGCTCCTGTCAATGGAGTTTCTCCAGCTTGGCCTGCAGGGACTTGAAGTTGCCGATTATTTGCTGAAGGGCCGAGTTTGGACTTAAAGACTGCAGCTCCACCAGATATCCGCAGATGTTGTCGAGGCAAACGTTGGTGAATCGGCGCCTGGGAAATATTACACAACATTAACAGCAGCCTGATGATACAGATTTATCGTCATTGGTTGTCGGACTTTTTCACAAATCTCTATGATGCGTAGTTATTTACCCAATGCTGGCTCAACCACAAAATTACAACATCTATACATGAAGTGTGCGGATTTGTGAAAATTTTTACAAAGACTTCAAAATTTATTTTATTTGTTGTTCTATTTATTTTGGATATTTTAAATTTCTTCCAGGTCTAGGGTTAAATGTTCATTAGAATTTTACGTTTGCTAATCTTTTATAATGTGCTCTTGCATTATTATTTTGCCATTACCATTGTATTACTTAAAAAATGGTCTCAAAACAACATCATTATTTATCGCAATAACATCGTCTAGCAAAATTTGTTATCGCGACAGGCCTAGTGATAGTGCTAACCTGTCATATGTTGCCACTCTGCTGGGGTCGTCCACATATCCTGAGAGAAGCACATGAATACACTCCACCAAATGTAGAGGTTTCCTCAACCGAAGCCAGCAGGGATCCTAGGTAACAGCAGATCAAATTATTTAGTGAGGAGCATTATATTATCCATTCATGTTCAAAACAAAATCTAAACATCGGAACTGAAGGGAAATACCCGGGATTTGAAGAGCTGATCATAAACCTCCAGAAGTCGTGGCAGCTGTACTCCGATCTCCAGCATCGTAAATGTCACGAATCCCACATCCCAGTTCAGTCGGCACACTTCCTGCTCCAGAAACTTTACAAGAAACTCTGCAACCATAACATCATTCCTCGTTAACACGGCACACTCATCATGTTGGTACCTGGGGAAAGAACTGATTATGTCCCAAAACCAAAGGCAATCTACCTCGAATCTACGTCTCCACAGACATGACATGTTTGAACAGGCTGCTTGTAAAATGTGGAAAATTAAAGAGCACGAGCAGCTGTTTGGTTAAACAGACCTGTGCCTCAGGGACACGCTCACTTAAAGCATGCAGAAAGGATGCCTAATTATAATACTAAATTGCAAACAACAATCCTGAAACTGAACATGATTGAAACATACCCAGAGGAAAGTATCTAGGTGTTCCAGCATAAATCTTCCCCAGTGTAACCAGTTTCAGATTGAGGGACCTCATCCTGTCTGCTGGACTCATGGCCACACTGTCGCTCAGCTCTGCAAGAAAAAACACCCAAAGAGTAAGGGACATGTGTTGAATAGAAGCAAAGATGAAATATTACACAGAGTTTTGATTTTAATTCACCTTTCTCCAAGATCTCCTGCCATAGTGAGTGGACCAGTATTTGGTCAGAGTGTCCTGCACAGTGAATTATGGCCAGCTTGCACTCAGACAGCTTATAATGGTCAGCAAACTCTCCGTAGAGCTGTGTGGCAGAAAAAAAAATTCATAATTTTGCATTCCACAAAACATTTATACACTTTTCCCACAGTAAAATTTAAGCACTTTCCAGATACAATTTGAAACTGTAAGGTGAATTAAAATACAGCACAATTTTATGTTTTGAAACGTCTCCATCAGACCTAACTGGTCCAGGAACAAAATATCAATAAAAATAATTTTAAAAATTTCCCAATTTCAATAACTTTAACATATCAAATAAGACGATCAATAAGTCTTCAAACCATTAGAAATAATAAATACATTGGAACAATCCAAATAAACTGTGTTCAGGTGAATGACCTTTCTGCTCACATTAAATGCTTAAATACAATGTACAAAGAAAGGAACAAAAGCAACAATGAAATGTTCACACAAAGTTTTCTGGCATTTAGCAAACAAGTTATTTTTTGTAATTTTAACTGACCTGAAACAACAGAAAAGTTTAAATGAACTTCACACAGTGAGAAAATAAATCTATTTTATTAGGTGTATGAAAATATCTGGTTTCAAGTATAAATTTTCAAGTTTAGGCTTTTAATCAAATGTTAGATTGCACTTCATTAGAGAACTGTGCCATTATAATATTAAGCACTTTCAAGGAAATTACACAGAAATCAAGCACCATCCAAACATTGAAACCAGCTAATTGAAATTCAAGCATTAAAGGATTTTAAGCGCCTATGTGAACCCTGCAACAAACACTAAAAATAGTATTTCTCTGATGTTTGGAGGTACCTTTGTAATGTCCATAAGCTCAGAGTCCAGTTGTGAAATGGCGCTTTTCACTGAGGGATGATTGGAGTACTGCCTCATCAGGGTTTCCTGGATCTGCAGTTGAATGCGGACAAGCTGGAAGAAAGTGGAACATGCAAACATTAAAGAAGTGCCTGAAGTAATCTCAGGTTAGGACCCCTCTTGGTTTTCAGTCAGGCTGACGTACCTCCATCTTTTCCTCCAGTTCGTGAAGAAATTCTCCATCAGAAGCCTGAGCAGAGATGCAGGAGGAACTCTTTGCAGACAGGATGGCTCGAGCGATGTACTCCAGACGCTGCTTTAGGGAGATCTCAGTGCTGCAACATTCAAGAGAAAGTAAAAAAAAAAAAAAAATTGTTACAAAAGAACTTGATGTGAAAAAAGAAAATCCAGGTAAAACTTTTCTCCTGTTCTGCTCAGACCTGTGCATGTCAGCGAGGCGGGCCAAGACGTGAGCTGCTTTGCCAAAGTTGCGATTTTTCTCGTAGTAGCGCCACAACAGGTCCATGTTGGGAACCTTGCTCTGGTCCTGTTTTATTATATGCATCAGGTGTTCTTCAAGATAAGGAGAATTCACCTGGGAAACAGAAGTTAAAAAAAGTTCAAGATCAATGGGGATTTTAAAAGAATAAATGTTACAAATTGCCATCTTCTGTTTGGATAATTTATGAACATTTTTTTTCTCTTCAGAAATTCAGTTCTATCTCACTTTAGACACAAAACAAGTCTGTAAGAAAATCCCCTCAGTCCTAAAAAAGTGCATTTTGAGAAAAACTAGCACCGATTCAAAGAGAAACTACTAGTGATGCAGGGACATAGTAGTGTTACCTCCAGCAGCTTGTCCGTCAGGTCAGCCTGGATCAGCCAGTTGTACAGGGCGATGTGAAACAGCTCGTCCTG